ATATATGGATGGCCTCTCGGCAGATAATCGCCATCAAGCAAATCTTGGAGTGACACTCAGGTGGTTAAAATAATTCGATCGCATTGTCGGTCAAAAATTACTCAATAACGAAAAAAGATCTGGAGAATGAGAGAATTGAACTCCCGACTTCGTGCATGCTAAGCACGCACTCTACCAACTGAGTTAATTCCCAGATTGTTAATTTACCTAAAAGTTGAATCTATTGCCAATTAATTTGGGGGATTCGAATGTGCTGTTCTGCAATACTTCTAGTTCGTTTCAGAATATCACAGTGCCCGATATCCTGAGACCTGAGGTGTTGTATTCAAATCGACGAAATGAATATGACTTTCTTTCCTTGAACTTTATAGGTGTCGCTCGTTAACTGTTCGATCTTTCTCTGGGATGATTGCACACCTGTCAATGGCTACCTTGCAATATCTGGTGCCAATTTACAGGAGGAATATTTACACGAGTGTCTACAGATGTGCAAGCAACGTCTAGACAATATACATCTTAATCTGCTAGTGATGTAGTTTCCGTCAATTGTTCAATATTTCTCTGGAAAGATTATACACTTGCCCACGTACACTTGCCGACGGCTAACTTGTATTATCTGTTGCTAGTTCTCAGAATAAATATTTACTCAAGTTTCTGTAGGCGCGCAAGCAACGTCGGAATAATCATGCGTCTTAACACGGAGAGATGTAATTGTTCACGCATAACCATCTGCCTTTAAATGTAGGATTACAACGTTTAAGTTGGTACGGCAGGTGATACTGAATACAAAGGTTAAATTATGGCTGCATCGACACTATGTTGCCCCACTCGTCGATTTGGCATAGTTTTTGAATTTAGAAGCGTTCACGAAGAATTGATCCAACACTCCGATGAAAATACCCGCCACCAGTACAGGGGGAAAATTTACGACACGAGGAGTACTTGCCAGTATATATGACAGGTACAGGGTGAAAATATGAGTTATAAAACACAGAACGGTATAGATATGCTACGCTGCTATAACAGTATATATGATCGGTCCTTCATAGTGTGTGTACTCCATCTGGCGAACTCACCGTATCTGTGTATATTCAAACCATAACTAACAGTAACCAAGCAGACGCGTATATTCCTTGCCAATTACCCCTTGCAACATAGTGTCAGAAGCGAATAGCAAGAAGCTGTGATGTAAAAAATAAGAACTCTCGACATATAGCTGCACAGGAAAGCCACGGCAAAATTCAACAGCGGATGCAGTGCTGTAAGCTTTGCAGTAAATTATGACTTTGTTATCATCGTGTGCCCATCATGCGGGACTAGAAATGTAACAAATGAATAACTAGTCCGTTCAAATTAGGTAATAAACTTGTCATCGTACAGTCGACCAAATCTGTCTGATTGCAGACAACGAAATAAGCCAATACTATGAATATCCTTTTATCCAATAGAAGTTGATTGAGGCAACAATGATATTGCCGAGTGCCGATCTATATACGAATATAGTAAACATGTATACGAATACATAAAACTGTGATACGTCGTCACCATGAGCAAAGAAAAATGCAGTGCAATTAGAACAAGCCGTACGTGAAGTGTCTGTTTACTAGTCGATATATTATATAATATATGCCCGTATAAGCTAAAACTTCGAAAGCTGAGAATAAATAAACTAAAATTCTACTAAATTTTAAAATCTATAAATTTTAAAATCTATTCTCCGTACCAGGCTCGAACTGGTGACTTCGGACTTATTAGGTCCGCACTCTAACCAACTGAGTTAACAGAGCACAACTATTAACATATACTAAATATAATATAAAAAACAGTTTGAGATAAATAATAATCATCAGCTAGAACATGCTCAAATCATCGTATTTTAGTAACATAAACACATAATAATGACTCTCTGGAGGACAGAAAAACCTGCGATCGCCCTTGGAACGCAGATTTCGGAGGGAGGCGGATGATCTTTCATTTTCTGTCTCTCTCTCGTTAAGTGGATCATGTCTCCATATAAACAGTTGTTCCCGATTAAAAACATGTAATGCGATTTGTATAAAACCACATACGTTTGGGTCGGCAGTTTCCGCGGAGCGCATCAATGTTATTTGCAGACATGTATGTAGATAAGCATTAATAATGTCATGAAACAGCATCGAACGGTCGTTGAAGTCATTCCTTAATATATTCGTTTGGTGGTTCAAATTGGGATTTAAATGTATAATGGTTATAGTTTAGCTTGGATAGTTTAGGACACGACACTCTTAAAGAAAAACAAAAATAGAACAAATAAATCGGGGATTGAACGCCATCAAGATAGCCATTTTCAGGATGCATGGTCTTAACAAGCGTGCAAAAAACACTAACATACGCTCATGCTTTATACATCTAAAATAAAATTTTGCCGAAGCCAAGTATCGATCTTGGTGCCTTTCGATCTTCAGTCGAATGCTCTCCCATCTGAGCTACTTCGGATGTAAAACTTTTCAAAATAAGATATATTATCTAGTAAAAGAATAAAAATAAAGCGCTTTTGATTCAGAATCAAACGCAAAATGAGTATTTTTAAAATGGGATTTTCCTTATGAATAGTGCTTGCGATGTTCAGTGTCTCGGTGATCATAAGAGTATTAAATAAGACAATCATAATATCTACTGTAGAGTAAATTATAGAAAGTCTTTACCACAGCCACAGTCATAACACTAAGAATTCAGAACAAGAGCGAGGAGTTTGGCAATATATATATATATGGCCAGTTCCAGTATAACACTAGGATTTCAGAACAAGAGCGAAGAGCTTGGCAAAAAGAATATATGGCCTGGTTGCTTGCAAAATTTACAATTTTACAATCCGTAACAATCTGCTTTCGAAAATACGGCTACGTCTCATTGTTCCCTTTAGAAATTTATTTGATCTATCTCCATCTCCAGGATGGAGGATACTTTCTTCCACCGGGGTGGTCCGATTTAATTCGTGTCTTACGTCAACCTTGCAGGTAAAAGCAGCATGCGAAGTAGTAGGGATATGTCTTATTGAGATTCGCTTACTTAATAGTCGCACCTCACTATATACCAATGTAGCCCCACATGTCCATGTACCTTCATGAGAGCTACCGTTATATCACATGATGGCTAAATAGCCAGTAATTTCTCAAAAGCACGCACTATCCACTTTGAATGAATATATATAGTAACCTTGAATGTTCTACCTTAACTCTTAGCTGCAAATATGAATCGTACGCAATGATTAGCAGCTCGGAATTTGTGACACCAGCACGGTGGACACATCCATAGAATCGCCTATCATATATTAGCAATATCTATGAGTACTACACAAGGACTTCAATCTCATCAGCGTCCCCGCAGACTGTTGTAATGATCAATAGCAACATTTCGAGCCGATCTGCAATTAGCAACATTAAGTGATAAGAAAAAAACGCGAGGGACACAAAAGATCGCAGATTCGCGTGCCAAAGTGTCCATTTTTGTTGTGCATGTCGAATCGTGTACGTGCAAGAAAACGAATGATACCTGCTCACAAACTTTTAGAGTAGCTGTATGACCATATATACAGCTAATACACTGTATGCACATGCACATATACTACCATCCATAAAAACCAACATGCCGCACATATATCAATACAGATGTGCATACAATACAAGAAAGGCAAAACCACGATACTGAGTAATTTAGTGGTTGTTGTTAGATTATCCACAAGTTTCTTCTCCTAATTTGACTGATAACGATAAATTTAATGTACATGCGACAAGTATAGTATATAACAACACATGGTTACTATCGGTCGGTGTAGCAAATATCAGTTGGTATAGGCTAGCTAGCCCAGACTGTATTAACTAACATAGCGCGCAGCAAAAGGGGGGTTTTTTTTTTTGAACACTTGGGCTTTTCACCCTGCACATGTTAAACCAAACATAAATTAATACAGAAGAGCGATGCACGAGGATGCCAACTTGCAAAAATTTATTGTTTAGTGAACCCCCCCCCCCCACCACACAAAATAAATAAATAAATACAAGCATACTGTAACATACCGAGGAGCGTCTTTATGTGTCCAGCTACTGTGGGCCGGTGCTTTCGATGCCATACATGTACAGTACTGTCGTGGTGAGGTTGATTTGCAGAAGGATGCACATGATGTAGGTACCAAGCATGGCCACGGCGGGGAAGAGGAGGGCCACCGTATTGCCCAGGAATGGCAGTGTAGAGTATCCGAGGAAAGTGATGTATATGTAGGAGCTGTGCGAATATGCGTGGTTGTACAGCTTAGTCTTTGCACCACGATACCGAGATGAGGGGGAAGAAAGTGCATGTAGTGAAAGTGTCTGGTGCGGAGATTCGTCTAGTACATTGGTACGTGCCGGCAGATGGACGTGGACACTCGAACCAACACCAGATATAGGGCCATACTGCGCATGATTTACAAGCTGACTCGGCCCCCACCTTCTAAACCGTCAGGTACACCACACAAAGCTACGCACACAATGCAGTGATATCTACAGTCACCCTGACGAGCACACGAGCGCATGCAGCGGAGAAAACACTATGACCTACACGCATAAACAACCGCTCTGCACACACCGGTATCTATTTGCGAGCCAAACTACACGGACTCAAATGTCCTGGAATGAGAAATGAATCGATAGCTATGATGTACACTTGGAACACAGAGACTAGCACATCAGACCGGATATGAAATCATCAACCTTACATATACATATCCATATACATATACATGTACATATTCATATACATATTCGACATACAGCAACGTACCTAACTGCGCACAGGTACAATGTGTCGGCCAAGAACACACTGATGAAAGTTTGTTTGTTCAGCAGAGGCATCAGTACCAACTGCAGCACGTGGAGGATCAGCACTAGCGGGAAGAAAGAATTGCAGTGGATGTCAAAGCAGTAGCCCCATTCCACCTTCTCGTCGGTTGTGTGCGGAGTTTCCAGTCTATTGAACAATGCACGAGAAATCAGAAGACATACGCGAAGAGATACGCCTTAAGAACAACGGGCTCTACAGCCTTCGGGTGGCATATGCAGGTGATACACAGACTGGGCCTTGGAACGGCAACACCAGAAAGCAACGTGCGTCCATATGCACAACAAACCCTAAAACCTTAAAAGCATGTGCACCGCGAATGCATACGATCCGCGTTTGTGCGGATTTCAGAATCCGTTAGCAATCGGGTAGAGTGGCTGCAGTCACCTCTACTATACGTTAGGTACCACCGTCGAATAAACGACTACCAGAAACTATGTTTAATATATTCGCAAACAGTATTCTGACACGAATATATGTCCCGTAGTACTTATTCGAGTTGTCAACTGATTGAACAACCAAAAACCTTCTTGATACTAATACGTACTAGCTCCACTACATACATACAAATATGGTATTAGCCTGACTGATTGTATGACCACATATCATCATTCTACAAATACGTACTAGCTCCAGTCGCATATACGGATACGTATTAGCCTGACTAATTATATGACTAAATATCATCTGTCTACAAATACGTATTAGCTCCACTACATGCTTACATATTCGTAATAGCACAACTGACTAGAGAAACACACCTCAGGTATTTGTTTGATAAATGCCACCCAGCGGTAGAAATGATGCATCCGATGACTACGCAATCGAACAGTATGACCCAAAGGGCAAATGACAACAGCTTCCACCAGGGGAACCAGAAGTACACGGAGAAGCCAACAGATGTGATACAAAGACACCCTATACGTACGACGGAATGAACGGTTAGGGAATGACAATGCGGGTTAATGAAATATCGGACCTATTGCACTGAACGAGGCGAAAACGCTATTTCCACACAATAAAACGTGAAACACCATTACGGGATGTTGTTCGGTACAGTTAACAATGTTTAACGGATATGGATAAACACAAAACAAAAAGAAAGATACGAAGTGATGAATATATATTAACATAAATACACACATAAAATATACAAGCAAGTGATCATCCAAAATATATAGACAAAATTTAAATACGAATGTATACATACATATATATATAAACATATACATGTATATATGTATATATATATATATATATATATATATATATATATATATATATATATATATATATATATATATATATATATATATATATATATACATAANATANA